CATTCTCTCTTTCTTGTGTGCGTGCACACACACGCGCGCACATACACACAGAATATGACAAATGGAATGACCACCAACCTCATCTTCAGAGCTTGGAACTGCTGGAGAAGAACGGCCAACTGCTGTTGCTGTTGAGATGATAAAGCTGCTTTCTGCTGTTGAGTCAAAACCTGTGCATACTGTTGCCTTTAAAATAAAAAAAACAAAAGTGTATGTATGTGTGTGTGTATACACACACACATGACCTATCTACCCCATATATAAAATTTTGAAACAAAACAAAATCCAACTCATCTCTTCCCTAAACCACAATTAGAAATAACAATCAAATATATTTTATAATTCTATGTGCTAATTAACCACAGGAAATTTTCTAATTCACTCTAGAGAAAACTCACACATGATGTTTCTCAAGGAGATACATATATATGTACATATGAAACAAATTATGTGTAATATATGCATACCACACATCACAAAATGTCAAGATGATCAGTACCAGTCCTTTCCCAAATTGTGACAATAAGCAAATCTGAACACCTATTTCCAAATGAAGAACTCTGCAAAATAAAATCACTTCTACAAAGTCTCAAATTTTATGTTTCAGCTTGGAAAGTTTTAGATAATACCTTCCACTAACTCTCAAAGTTCCAAACAGTAAATATCTTCAGGCTTGCAGCTGCAACTCCTCAGTTCTGCCTTTATGATTTAATAGGAGTCACAGACAATCTATAGGTTAAGTCAGTGGTCCAATAATGTTTTGCTTAAAAGAGGCAGCAGGCCACCAAGAAGACAGTGCCAACCCATATACCAGCACAAATGTTATTTCTTTCCCCAGAGTCCAGTGCTCAGGAGACTAAGGCTGCAAAACATAGTTTTAGGGCAGTTAGGGCTACACAGCTAAATCCTATCTCAACGACAGCAAAATAAAGAGAGATAACGACTTTAGTGGATTAGTCATCACTCTACACCATTCCTAACAGCGTGATTTTTACTTCTTCCCGCCTTTTCCTGTTTTTCCTTTGTGTCCCTCAGAAAGTACTTAGTTCTTAACATGTTTGTTGACTCTTTCCTCAGCAACTAAAGACCCTGAAAATCATAATTAGATGTTATTTTCTGCAATCTTCCAGCACTTAAAAGGGTAAGACTAAAATTAGATGGACAGTGGGACACATGCCACTAGCAGGCTACTCAAGTATCACAGAAGCCTTGAGTTCTCACTATAAAAGGTGAGACTTGGGAGCAGATTCTATCTCAGGCTCCTTTGGTGCTGCAGTGCATCCTACTGCATCACTGCTCTTACTGTATTAAAAACTGCTGGTACTGGAGGTGCTGCATTTGGTATAAGGCAGTGAGTTCCTGCTGTCTGGTCAGGCGTTCCTGGTCCAATTCTCCCTGAGTGTAGAAAAAAGTACCATGAAATAAACAGCATTGAGATGGTGTCACTGAGTATACACACCTAATAGCACAGTAAACCCCAGACTTTTACTTCCTACTCCAACCTTTTGCCCTTCAAACACCTAAAAAAACAAAAAAAAACAAACAAAAAAAACCTACCGTCTTTTAAACTAAACACTGCCACCTAGTGGAATAAGATGGTTCTCCAGCATAAGCCACATAAGGTTCTTATTCAGCACTGTCCACTACTTCACGCCGAATGCTGAACAGTGTCATAAAGAACTGTTATTGTAACTGAGAAATTACCCAGCACTCCAAATCTTAGTGGCTTGCTTTAAAGGTCATATAGAAATCAGAGAATTAGGACATTAAGGAAAAGAGTAAAATGACCTAACAGTTGATGGGATGGAAAGGAAATTCTCAGTAGCACATGATCAGTTCATAAAACTAAGGTATAACTATCCTTAAAATGTTGAAAATATGTGGGAAAAAAAAACCTCTGAGCAACTACTCCTTCAAATTAAGTGTTATAAATACACTGGAAGTTAGAGAATACAGGCAGACAATTCCAGTAAGATGGCTGAGATTTTATAGTTTTATAAAGTTAAAAGGAGACAAAGAAAAATATAAGATCTATAATAATAAGAATAAAAACCTATGATAACAGACTAAACCTAGGCAAATCATGTATGAAGTTCTATCTTTCTTACATATGGATTATAGCTTGAAATAAAGTTATCTGATACACAATGTGTTAGGGCAGGAAGCACCCTAAATTCAGAGACATCAGGAGTTAGGTACTAGACAACAATTCAGGTGAAACCCGGGTTTTAAGAACACTGCTTATGAAGGTCAGCTCTCTCATCAGTGCTACTTGAGGCAAAGATAACAGCTAAACAAGGAGGCAGAGTTTCCCAAAAGTTGCTGTTGAATGGGTACAGAGAGAGGCTTAAGAACAACCTCATCTGAATAGGTACAGATTGTGACTCCCAACAGACTGTGTTGGGGAACAGACAAGGAATAAGAGCATGTCAAGAACAAAGTGAGCAACTTTTAGCTCCTGATACATGAAAGACACATCTCAACTTCAAGACAGAAAATAAGACTCAAACCTTGCCGTGTAAATTAAGCCAGTAAGTAATGATATACTACAATTGTTCTTGGGATTTAAAAAAAACAAGCCTCAAACATGACATATGAATCATGGAAGAGAAAGCTGATGGCCAGTGATGGCTTGCCTACATAATTCTTTAATGACCGAGGCCGTATCACATTCATCTTCACCTCTCAAAAACCTACCGTGAAGGTGTGACCAGTAGCCCTCAATATAGTTGAATAAATCAATGGTAGGTTACTGTAGACATTCAGTATTCACACTAAATTGAATATTGTCATTTTTATCAATGGAGAGCCACTATTCTAAGACATATAAAGGCTACATAAACAAACACCTAAAGACCTCCTCTAGCTAAGGCCAGGCTCAAGAGAAAATATTTCCCAGCTAAAGGTTTAGGACCCTCAAAATTTTCTAACACACTAAGTGGCACTTATTTTAGGATAAGCCTCAAATGTAAGAAATTGTATGAGCGAGAAAATAAGACAAAAATGGAGGCGAGAGACATGGAGGCAGAATGTTGTATACTAAATAAATAAATAAATAAGTAAATAAATAAATAAATAAATGAAATGAAAAAAAAGAAATGGAGGTGAGAGGAAAAGAATGTGCATTCTAAGAAAAGATAATAAGGAATTCACAGAAGCCAACCACATTGAAACACAGAGGATAAAAGCTCTGAAATGAGTATTGAATGGGAAGCAGCCAGATCCCTAGTAGTCAGGATAAGATAGTAGTCTCATTCTTTACTGGCTAGAAAAACCACAGATAGATTCAATATAGTGTATATAATGCATGCACACAAATGCACAATAAGTGTTGAAATAAATGGTCATTACTGTTCAGAATATAACTCTCCCATTCAAAAGTGGCCATTACCATTTCAATTTCCTTCTATGAAAATACTAGGTTGGGTATAATAGCTCATGCCTATAATCATAGCAACTCAACAGGACCAGGAGGACCACCAAGTTTGAGGACAACCTGGTCTGCAAAACAAGTTCCAAGCCAGCCTATAGCAAGACCCTGATTCAAAAGAAAAGAGACAGAAAACTACCATTTTTATCTCCTTCACTGCAACCCTGGGTTGTCATTCAAAGAGAAATAAGTACTCCTGAATCTATTATGTATCCCAGGTCATCAGGAAGATACTCACCATATGAGGAGGAGGAGCTGGGCCTGGAGAGAAAGGAACCCTTCCCCACATTTTCATGATATCACCAAGAGGCTGGAAGCTTTCATCACATGCTCTCTTCACAAGCAAAGACATTGTAAAATAGCCCGCCTGAAACCATTCTGCCATCTCCTGATTGTTAAAGGGACCTAAACATAAGAGCAGTAAGAATCTGGTCAGGTTCAAAGATAAACATATTCCCTGAGTCTCATGTTCATACAAACTTTTATAGTAGCTTACTTCAGAAAGTGAAAAATAGTTTTGTATTAGATACAGCAAAACTAAAATTTTGAAATACACAGTGCTTTGTCTATTTCACAGCAAGTGCTCTGCTGCTGAGCTTCATCCCTTTACACATCCTAAATTGTTATCAATGCTTTAATGACTGTAAGTAGCACAACTGTCTCACCCTCTGCAAACACTCCATCAGAAAACTGAAATAAATATACAGAAGAGCAGATAAATACTTGTGGGCTTCGCATCACTGAGGAGTAGAGAATATAAATCCTCAGTGCTAAACACATTCTCAAATTTTTGTTATGTTCTTCTGGAGATTAATGATTGCAGGATGAAAAAATAATATAAAATACAAGCAATAATCAACTGAATTAGGGCAAATTACAACGTATTTACCCAACAAGACTAAATCTGGCCCTGAGGAAAAAAAATAGCATTCTTTAATCGAGTACTTTAAACATAAAAATTTACAGAAAATATAGACCAATTCAATGTTTTCTAGGCATTAAGAAATGTTTTTTAAACGTGAATGGGTGTTTTCCTTGCACAAATGTCTGTGCACTAACTGTGGCCGGGTGTCCAGAGAGGCCAGAAGAGGGTGTGAGATCCCCTAGAACTTAAGTCAAGCTTGGGTCCTCTGGAAGAGCAGTGAGTGCTCTTAACTATGAGTCATTTATCTAGTAATCATCTCTAAATTAATTAAAATCATGCATATATGTTCTTTAACCACCATAGAACCAAGATATAAATCAACACAATACTAACAGGAAAATTCCTAGCTTAAAAGCTAAAAACACTTCCAAATAATTCATGGGCAAAAACTGTATGCGTGAGAGCATGTACATTTCACATACTCTTAAGTATAAACCATGACTAAATTTATTCCTGGAATACAAAGTTGATTCATTCAAATTATGAAAATTCACCAAGAAGCTGAATATAGTGGTGCATGTCTTTAATCTCAATACTTGGTATGAAGGGATTGCCAGTATTTTATACCACATTACATGTGGCATATAATTATTTCAGCTTGTCCAGAAATGTTGAACACCCTTTAATATTAAGGAGGGTGGGTACATGTTTCAGCAGTGCATAAACAAAACAACTGCAATGATACCAAGATGATTAGCACAGCCCCTGCACAATAATGACACCCAAATTTGTGAAGTGTTCTATATTTTTTCTGACCTTCATATATGCCAAAAGAATTAAAATAAATGGCACCAAGAAGAAAAAGATTTTAAAAGGGGGGGTGGGGAGCTAGGTAAACATGCTTACCACTAAGTCTAACAATCTGATTTCTGGGAACTAAAACTGGAAAAGACACAATGCTTGCAAGCTGTCTCTGACTTCCATACCATGTATGCCCATATGTCCATACATCTACACACACATAGGTTCAGCAGTTAAAAAGCACTTATTGTTCTGGCAACAGAACCCATAGGGCAGCTCACAAACACCTGTACCTCCATGGAGGCAGTGAGGATTGACACCTCTGGCCTCTGTAGGCACCTGCATACATGTGCATATAAACCCCATCCTGCGTGCACGCGCGCGCGCACACACACACACACACAATTAAAAATAATAAAAAGAAAAAAATTTAAAGATATGTAAGATGACTAGGGCAAGCAAGATGGCTCAGTAAACATAGGCACTTAACACATAAACCTAGTGACCTGAGTTCTAACCTAGGAACCCATGGAAAGGTGGAACGAGAGAACCAACTCTACAGAGTTGTCCTCTGACCTCACACATCGTGCAGATATATAAACAGTGAGAATAATAAGCTTTATAAAAGGATCTACCCCCCAGATATACACAACCATGCCTAATAGAATGATTTTTGTCAAACTGACTTTATTATTTCTAGCTACTTAGGAAGACTGGGGCAGGGGCCTTCAACCCAGAAGTGTAAAATCACTATGTGTAACACAACAAGACATTGTCTCAAAGAGGAGGAAGGAGGCTGAAAAAGAGGAAATCTCTATTAGACACAAAAGTACAGGTAAAGATGCTCAACAAAGCAATCAAAACTATAAAACAGGGTTGGAGAGATGGCTCAGCAGTTAAGAGCATTGCTTGCTCTTCCAAAGGTCCTGAGTTCAATTCTCAGCAACCACATGGTGGCTCACAACCATCTGTAATGAAGTCTGGTGCCCTCTTCTGGACTGCAAGGCATACACAAAGACAGAATATTGTATACATAATAAATAAGTATTTTTTTTTAAAAAAAGCTACAAAACTATCCAGGTTTGGGGGAGGACATTCATAATCCCAGAACTCTTAAAGCTAAGTCAGGAGAATTAAGAATTGGAGGACACCCTGGGTTATACAAGAAGACAAAAACAAACAACAAAAACCTTACATACAACTGAATATCCTAGTAACTACAAAAATAATAATAATAGCTAGCAAGGATGTAGACAAATTAGAGTCTATGTACCTTTGGTTAGAACATAAAACAGCACTAGGGAGACAGAGGCAGGCAGATGGCCAGCCTGGTCTGCAGATTGGGTTCAGGACAGGCACCAAAGCTACACAGAGAAACCCTATCAAGAAGAACCAAAAACAAACAAACAAACAAACAAACAAACAAACAAAAAAACATAAAACAGTACAGAAGCTGTGGAAACAGTTAAAACTCATTTCCATATAGTCTAGAAGCAAGTGTGGTAGAACATGTCTAAAATGCTAACATTCAGGAGGCCGAGAGATAGCAGCTCACAGGATGTATCTGAGCTACACATGGAGAACCTGAACCACAGTAAAGTATCAATACACTTGCTAGAATGATTTTAAAACAAAGAAAAATTCACAAAATTTATTATCAAACTCTGGTACAGATACAAGGAAACAATAATGTCATTAGAGGGCATACAGAATTGTTCAGTCACTCTGGAATTAAAAAACTAAAGATGCAACTGCAATAGTACTTGCACTTCTGATCACTTATACTGAAGTTATGATAGACTTTCACATACTGCCCATAAATGCTTACAGCAGTTTTATTTGTAGCAGTCAAAAAATTTGAACCACCCAAATGTCCTTCCTCAGATGAATGGCTAAACAAACTATTATAAATTGACATCATTCACTATGACTCAGTAATACAAGGAAACAAAGTATGACTTTCCAAGGATTATACTAAATGGATAGCGCTATCCCCACCATTCTATGCTGTATGAGTCTACTTACAGAACATTCCTAAAACGATAAAATATAAAAATGTAAAACAGATTGGTGCTTACCACATATTAACAAAGCAGTGTGGAAACAAAATATATGTTTCTATAAAAGGGAAACAATGCTGCTAAAATGCAAAGATTCTGAATCTCAATTGTCAATACCCAGATGTTCTGCCACTGAGAAAAACTGGATGAAGGACAATTTCATGTGAAACCACAATTATCCCAAATAAAATAAATTTATTAAAATGCACGTATATACAAAGCGCTGTTCTGAGGTATCTTAACATTATACTTGAATGTTAACAATGAACAAATATATACAAGACCAGGCAGAGTAACTCCTATGAAGAGAATAAGGCAGGGAAAGAAGACTAAAAGTAGGAGATGTTAACATGCTGGAGCCCTCAAAGGATATAATCAGTAAGTGTTGTGCTAAAACTGACATTAACATACCAACAAACAACTCAGGCTCTAACGATTTTAAAAACAGAAATAAATCTATATGGGCTTTTTACAGCATTCTCCCCTCTAACTCATTCAAATCATTTAAGGGATTCATTTGTAATACATGCAATCTTTTCTTAGTCATTTTAGTAATTCTCTGTTGTTTATATATAGCAGGTCTACTTCAGCAAATCAGTCAAGGTTCTCCAAAACTACTGCCATCATTGTCTGTTGGTCTAGGTAACAAAGCACAGAGAATCATTACCTGCTTCTTACCCAGCTGGGATGTGTGGAGCTCAGATAATGCACAAACCATTTGCTGACACTGTTGTCATTTTGGTCATCACTCTCTACTTGTGTTCATTTTCCTATGTGATCTTCTTTGTATTTACAAAGAAACTGTTGACTTTGTTTCTATTATGCAAACAAACATTAAACAAACACCCCTTCTCAGGAGGTTCTGCAAGTGGCATAGATAGTTCAGTACTTAAAGTGAAAATGGGCTGTTTACCTTGGATTTCTCCCTGAGGGTCTTTGTAATACCACTTTTGCATTGCTTCGTGCATCAGTGGAATCGAGACTCCTTTAGCTCTGTGCTCTTGCAGTTTTGATGTCAATCTTTCATCATCTAGTGCACTGTCTTGGAGATAAGCCACCATCTTCTCAGCTTGCTAGTAACAGAAGATAAAGGGATTCAGGGAACAAATGATCTCGAATTCATATTATAAGGCTAGTAATAATGATCACTGTTTTTGAACTACTTGATTCATGAAAGACATTATGCAAGGAACAAAACCATTAACAACCTAATCCCACCTTGGAAAAGAAAAAAAATATAGATCAAAGACACAAAATCAAACAACTAGATTGAAATACAAACTAGTATGGATCAAAGCCTAGGCTTCAAATAAAGGTTTAAAATATGCTACTGTTGTCCCATTCTAGATTGTTTTCACAAACCTTCATGTCTGTGTAGAGATGTTAAGAGAATAAAAGGCTCAATTAATACAATTTCAAATAAATTACTCTACAAGTTTCACTAACATATCACTAACCCTTCCATCTACATTTCCTGTCTCTAACCACAACCAACCTGAAGGAAAGAGAAGTTCTACAGAAAATCAACTCATTTATTTTTCATGTGTTGTTACACACAATCTTCGGGAAACACAGACGTGAATAAGAATGTTAACTAAAATCCTGAGGCTTTTAACGATTATTCCTGCTGTACTTGAAGTAAAGAACACAAAACACGCAGGGACCATCCACAGCTGCTTGTATTCACCATTTTTAGCATTCCATTAATGTCCAAAAAGAAAAGAAAAGAAAACAGCTAAGGGCAATCGCAGAAGAGCAAAAAATAACCTGACATAATGACTACTACATAGCAGAAACTTAAAAGCATGAAATGATCTGAAAGACAATTACTCACACAAACATTAAATAACCAAACAATTTTTCCAGTACTTTAAGACCTAGTGCATAAAACTTCTGTATTGGGATATACATGGAAGTTTGAGAGGAGAGGATAAAGTAACCTGATTTCACCTGTTCCAAGTGTTTGAGGCCCTCTTCATCATCTGGCTCTGTGGAAACACTGCCCATACCAGGAGCCTCAATGGCTGCTGTCTCAACTGGCCGTGAGGCAGAAGCAGGAGTGGGAACAGGAGGTGGAAGAATGACGAGAGGAGAGGCTGTATCTGGAGGAAGCTGTGTTGAGGGTTGCTGGGAGGCAGGCACTGTTTCTAAAGGGAAAGAATGTAGAGTAATGAATGTTCTTATAAATGTGGAGACATCTCAAGGTTAATTCTACATTAATAAGTGGAACAGTCTACTGTATAGGCCTGACTGAGATGTCGACCCTGAAGCTACTTCCTATGGAAAAATGCAGTATATGTCCCTAGAATGACATTTAAAAGTCCATAAAGCTTCTTTCTAGCAATGTCACTATAGCATCTAGCCAATAATTAGTTGTATCAGTCAATCTACTCCATTCAGAAAGAGCAAGCCTCTAAATAAAGATTAAGATACTCAAAGCTTTTCAAAGACATGTCATCTCATCAAAATGTGTTTGGAAAATCCCGGTAATAACCTTAAGTACCTGTCTCAAGTGGTAATATAGTGTAGGTTTGAAGAGTCTTACCAGTATAGGGCTTTCTTTTTTTTTTTTTAACTTTGCTTCCTCTTTTTTGGGGGGGGGGGCAGAGGGGAGCTTTTTGGAACTCACTCTGTAGACTAGGCTGGGCTTAACTCAGACAACCACCTCTCTCTACCTTCTGAGTCTCCAGGATGCTGAAATTAAGAGTGAGCTACCATTGCAGTTTAAATATTTCTTTTCTCTCCTCTCTCTCTTCTCTCTCTCTCTCTCTCTCTCTCTCTCTCTCTCTCTCTCTCTCTCTCTCTCTCTCTCTCACCTTCCCTTTAATTTTATATGCATTGGTGTTCTGCTTGCATTTATATCTGTGTGAAGGTGTCAGATGCCCTGGAAGTGGAGTTACAAACAGTTGTGAGCTATCATACAGGTACTGGGATTTGAGCCCAGGTCCT